TCAATGCCAACGTTTGAATAGAGTTGAACTTCTGCCAAGTGGCAGAATCTAGAATGACTTAGTGTTTTGCATTTGGTGTTAACCCAGCATTAGATTACTCACGGGATCTTTTTTGCTTTACACAAATTGTTCAAGTACATCTAAGTTGAATTTTTAAACTTTGTCTGTCATTGGTCTGATGTGTTTTATCTCAACAACTCTGGCTGGCAGAGCTGTGATATAAATGAAAGTTTAGATTTTAGATAAATTATTTTAAAAGGAGGAGGAGCTACTGTATGCACCGCCCTGCCTTCATGTTTTAGTTGCTTTTATGTCACACATCAAACCAATCTGCACATTTCAAGCCACTTCAAGGGACCTTTAGGCTGCTTTCACACTAGCACTTTTGGTCCGCACCCGGGTTTGTTTGACGTTAGTGTACAGTACGTTTAGCTAGTGTAAACGTTGTCTTCTGATTGGTGAATGGTACCTGAGTCTGCCTGAAAGAACAAATTCTGAAAAGAACAAAAAAAAAATATCTGCTTAAAACAAATTTTTGTTTTTATAACATTAATTAATGTGTGTGTCTGTGACTGTGTATCACCTACCTTAGCAACAAGCGGGGCTGACCCAGTGCAAACAGTGATAATGTCTGCTTGTCTCCACCAAAAACCACTTCTGCAGACATTGTGTGATGTTCTGAACATTTTTAATATATATATATATATATATATATTTTTTTTTTTTTTTTTTTTTCGGCAGATAGATGCAAGTTACTCTCTGTATTTTGGTTTTGATTACAAAATCAAAAGTTTCAGTAAAAGCAGAATGACTGTGATATGCGTGCACCTCCATTTTGGCGGTTTGCTTTTGTGACTTTCACCTAGCAACAGCTATACACAAAACAGCAGCTTGATGACTTAAGTGTCCTGGGATTCAGAAGGAAAAATGACAATGTGAACACAAACCAGCCGAGCTATCAAACTTGGGTTCGGACCAGGTATTCGAACCAAGTGTGAAAGCACCCTTAAAAGATTTCAGTAAGATTTTGGCACTCTGGTGTTTGACCCTGTTTGTCCTTATGGCTCTTTTGAGTGTCTGTTTGTATCCTGTAAAGTTGGGTTATTTCAGGACAAGGACACAGGGTGTCTGGAGCACCTGCTGTCACATCCACCTCGCCTGTTCTTCACACCACTGCCGAAAGCAGAAATACTTCAGCGCTTATGTAGTGTTACCCTATATCCATTTGGTTGACTGTGATTTAAAAGAATATTTTCTGGAACCACACAGGGCTTTGAGTTTGACTTAAGGTCACTTTTTTTGGGGTTTTAAAAGTGTGATCAGTTCTTCTCTGGATCTTTGACATTTTAGCATCATTAACACGTGTAGGTTTTAGCAATAGTTTGAATATTTTGTAATTTTGTTGTTTTGACATTTTTATTAGACTTTTTTTTCTGCAAAACATATACTATGTTGTTGTTTTTTTCAAAGTTATTTTAGTACATCTTGCTAAAAATAATTTTTTTCCCAAATATTTGATTGATTGATTGATTGATTGATTGATTGATTGATTGATTGATTGATTGATTGATTGATTTATTTATTTATTTATTTATTTATTTATTTATTTATTTATCTATTTATTTATTTATTTTTATTAATTTCATTGTTTATTTAATTAATTGTTCATTTATTTAATTACTTTATTTACTTTATTATTTTATTCTGGCCCAAAGAGACTGTTGACAGTGTGATATTATATTAGTAGGCCTTATAAAATAGTGCACACTTTGCATTGTGGGCAAATCTTACTGAAATGCAGTGCACTTTGTCTTCTTCATTATTGTCACTTCGTGATACTAAAGGCTTAAGCTTTTCTAGGGACTAATTGACATTTAATGGCCTTAATTGAGGTTTGTGATTGTTAATTGTGAATTGTGATTTTAATCACTTGGTCTGCTGGTCAGTGGAATTAATAGCTGTTGTTGCAAATTGGCCCTCTCGTCAATGCTCAGCTAAAGAACTAGAGTCCACAGATTCATTATTGTTCAGTTTTTTTCTCATTTCTGTATAGTGTGGCCCCTATACTGTGTTTGCAGCTCTAGAATAAATTAAGAGACCACTTTAAAGTTTTTATCGACTTTTTTTTCAGATTTGCAATTAAGAGGTTTGAGGTTTTTTATGCTAATTTCGATTTCTGTAAATTGCAAAGTTTTTAACTGTAATAAGAACTGTAGGTCAGTTATGCGGTATGTTATGTATTTTAAAGTTGCATCGTGAAAATTACTGTATATTGTGATAATTAATCTACAGTTAAAGAGTCAGAATTATTACAAATAATTATAAATATTTCCAAAATGATGTTTAACAGAGCAAGGAAATGTTCACAGTATGTCTGATAATTTTTTTGCTTCTGGTAAAAATCTTATTCATTTTATCTCGGCTTGAATAAAAGCAGTTTTTAATTTTTTAAAAGCCATTTTAAGGAAAAAATGATTAGCATTTTTAACCTAATAATATTTTTCCTAATAGTCTACAGAACAAACCATCGTTATACAATGACTTGCCTAATTACCCTAAACTGCATAGTTACCCTAATTAACCTTTTTAAGCCTTTAAATGTCACTTTAAGCTGTATAGAAGTGTCTTGAAAAATATCAAGTAAAATATTATTGACTGTCATCATGGCAAAGATAAAAGAAATCCGTTATTAGAGATGAGTTATTAAAACTATTATGTTTAGAAATGTGTTGAAAAAAAACTTCTCTCCTTTAGAAATGAACAGGGAGGCTAATAATTCTGACTTCAACTGTATATTTGTACAAGGGTTGGGCGATGTCGACCAATTTGGCATCGTATGATGTCTAATGTGAAACATTGCGATAGACGATGGCATCATCGCTGTCATAGGCAATGAATAAATTATTTATAATTAATTCATTCATAACGAATTTATTATTTGTAGCCTACCATTTCAACTACCGGACCCGCTTGGCCTTTGTTTTACCCATAACCAAATCATCAGTGATCTGTGTCACGATTAATAATGGTATTGACAAACTTGGTTGATAAAAAAGCAGCACAACCAACAGTATTTGAGGTTTTTGCTAAAATTACAAAGTACAAACGTGAAAGCGAAAGACTAAAGCGATGTAATAATGCTGTGACACGTGATGTACGTTTTCAGCAATATACTGTGGAAGGAGGGCTTTTTATTAATGCTAGATGAAAAGTGTAGACGTGGATCGTTTTCATACTAAAATGCCTTTTTAAAACAAAGATGTATTATTGTAATTGGCACTGTGTGTATTTTTTACGAGCGGGTTGCTGCTGCGATGGGTGCGGGGCAGAGGATCACGATGTTCAGCATCGTGATGTCTATCGGCCATCGGTAAGAAAAAAATAATTGATTATCGCTAGAAAAGTCAAGAGCAGTGAGGGATTTTCCCTTTTTGTTGTTTGATTAATTTTGCTAAATACAGTTGGCAGCAGGAATATTGCACACTGTCACTTTAAGAGCAGTACCGTTCTGATTTATTGTTTTAATTCCACATGTCTTTTGATTCTCAACTCATTTGTTAATTACATAATTGAGGGTCATATGAATAATCACTAAACACCACGTTTTGACACTTGCATGCATTTGACCATTAAAGCACTCACATTAAGATGACTTTAGATGTGTGTGCTCTGCTCGTCTCTGAGGCTGAGCACACAAACACAACAGCATGCGATCTCTTTTAAAAACATGAATGATTCGAATGTACATCAATAGTTGGTGCGCATCCCGTGCTGCAAAAGTTTCATTACAGTACATGCTTTAGTCATTTTCACGTGAAACTGAGCTTTGCAGAGTAACAAATGTGTATAACTTGAAAAGGGGCGGTATATGATGCAATAATTGTTTTATCTCGATTATTGTTTTTTCATAATCATTAGAAGCCAAAATTGAAATCGAATTTCGATTAGTTGCACAGCCCTACAGACAAAAATATTTTAACTTTATTTAAATGTTTTCACATAAACAAAAATGGTACTTTATAATCCAAACTGCAAATAAAGGCACTAATCTCATGCACTGTTATAGAAATTAATCTTAAATAATGATTACATGTTCTTTTCTTTCCTTTTTTTTGGATGTTGATGTCAAAGGCTGCTTGTTCAATCAAACCAGCTTGTTTGATATATAAAAAATAATACAATGGATAAATGAAGAGGGAAATTTATCAACTAAAAAAGACATTAAATTATATGACAATCCATCAGGTTAGGTGCAGCATATATAGCCTGCGCAGGGTAAAAGAAAAAATAAAGATCTGCTTACAGACACTTGAATGTGTCCACTATCGACATCTTCTGGAATCATATTTTTCCAGTCAGGCAGGGGAAGGAAGGGAGGTCTTCATGCCTGATTACTAATAAAAATTTGCTGGGAGTATCAACTCAGGGGGCTGATGTTGCTGAAGTGACACAGCCAAAATAGCTAATCTTCACAGTCGCAGTTTCAAGCACTTAGTTTCTCAGTTGTCTGTGAAATAAGCTACTCCATTTTTCTGCACCCCTCTCTCTCTCCCTCTCTCTCTCATACACACACACTTTCCAGCACTATGCCCCTAATACTGAATATCTTTAATAACTCATTTAGGTGGGTGTGCCCCTTAGTCAGGCTAGGCTGGAGATCATCTCTTATGTAATTCCCTTCCATGAGCAAATATGAAATATCTGCTGCTCCTTAAAGTACAAATGAAATCAAAACTAACCATTTACTGTTAGCTCACAGTGAGTATGTTTACATGGACACCAATAATTAGATTTTAATACTATTAAAACGATACTCTGATTAAGAGTCTACCATATAAATGGCGATTTCGTCATCGAACTAAACAGAAATCGAATTAAGACATGTGAATTATGCCAATTATAGTCGCATTATTGTGCAGCACAGACATATAAGCAGCTTAATCAAACTATTATCATCAGAATATCTCCTAATCACAAGGTTTTGTGTTTTTGCTGCTTAGGATGTGGAGATCCGAACAAACGCGGCGCTGTACCTCCCTCAGATCAGTGAGCTGTTGAACAGGATTCCCCGACAGATGCTGCTGCTTCTGAAAACCAACGACCTGCTGAGAGGCATCGAGACCATCCTGCAGACCAGAGCCAGCTCCAGCTCCTTCATCAACATGTCCCGCTGCTGTACTCGAGCCGTTGCCAGGTAAAACATCATTGATAATGGCACTTTGTCTTTTATTTCTTGTACACGATTTTACACGGAAAATATAATAAAAGCTTGCATTTCCATATATATATGGAAATACAAGTTTTTATTTTGGATACATTTAATCTTATTAATCTTTTGACATCACCCATTTGAAGGATTTGCTGCCAACTTAAAATTCTCTCAACACTAATACCATAGTTGAATGTAAATAATGTTACCATATACATGATTTTATATTGAAAAAAATTATACATAGGCTACAGTTTTGTACAATAGTTTTACTATACTATTGGCTTATGACATGAAATTGCTTTCACATATTGTGGATAGAAACCTTTTCTGAAACATAGTGGAAACATCAGTATGGAAAAGGATCATTTACAATTTAAAACACTGTTTAAAAATAAAAAAGCTCTAGAGTAAAAGTAGCCTTAAATGCACTCAGACACCCCTTGACAAGCGCTCAGTTCAAACTCCCCCACCCTCAAATGGACGTGAGTGACTAAATGCCACTATATTGCACTATATTGTACTTTCCGCAGCAGTGAGCAGTGATCATATTGATTTATTCTCACCATTCTAATGAAGAACACTGTGATTGGGGGAGAAAATCGTTGGGGTTTGAGGGACGGTTGTCAGCTGCAGAGACGCTCACGTCTGCTCGTAAAGGATTTCTGTGCGGTACAGAAAGAAAGAAGCATCCAGACATGAAACTCAATGTCGTCTGCCTCAACGCTTCTTTATTAAAACCAAATGGCAGCAAAGTGCGGAATGCAAAATCTGAAATCCATTTCCAATTGCTGTACTCTGAGGCACAGCAGAAAGAGAGAGGCAGATCTAGAGAAGTAACCGGACCATCACACAAACATACACGCTGATTTAGCTTGATGTGAGGAGAAATGTTTGCAGTAGCATCTATTATGGTGAGTTAGGTTTTCATATACAAGCTGTAGGAATACATGATCCAAAAACGAAAATTCAATAGAAAGGAAGTATTAACTAGATAAATTCAACTTTTTATCTCACAATTGAGTAATCTTAATTGTGGGCGAGATATGAAATGCAGAATTGTAATATACACTCACCGGCCACTTTATTAGGTACACCTTTCTAGTAGCGGCTTGGACCCCCTTTTGCTTTCAAAACTGCCTTAATCCTTCATGGCATAGATTCAACAAGGTACTGTATAATATTCCTCAGAGATTTTGGTCAATATTGACATGATAGCATCGCGCAGTTGCTGCAGATTTGTCAGCTGCACATCTATGATGCAAATCTCATGTTTCACTACATCCTAAAGATGCTCTATTGGATTGAACTCTGGTGACTGTGGAGATCGTTTGAGTACAGTGAACTCATTGTCATGTTCAAGATACCAGTCTGAGATGATTTGCACTTGGTGTGTTATCCTGCTGGAAGTAGCCATAAGAAGATGGATACACTGTGGTCATAAAGGGATGGACATGGTTAGCAACAATACTCAGGTAATGAGCTAATGGACCCAAAGTGTGCCAAGAAAATATCCCCCACACAATTACACCACCACCAGCCTGAACTGTTGACACAAGGCAGGATGGAGCTATGCTTTCATGTTGTTGATGCCAAATTCTGACCCTACCATCTGACTGTCACCGCAGAAATCAAGACTCATCAGACCAGGCAACATTTTTTCCAGTCTTCTGTTGTCCAGTTTTGGTGGTCCTGTGCGAATTTTAGCCTCAGTTTCCTGTTCTTAGCTGACAGAAGTCCACACGGTGTGGTCTTCTGCTGCTGTAACCCATCCGCCTCAAGGTTGGTCATGTTTGTGTGTTCAGTGATGCTCTTCTGCATAGCTCGGTTGTAGCAAGTGGTTATTTGACTTACTGTTGCCTATCTATCAGCTGGAACCAGTCTGGCCATTTTCCTCTGACTTTTGGCATCAACAAGGTATTAGCACCAAGGAATTTGGATATTTTCTTTTTTCAGACTATTCTCTGTAAACCCTACAGACGGCTGTGCTTAAAAAAACCAGTAGATCAGCAGTTTCTGAAATACTCAGACCAGCCCGTTTGGCACCAACAATCATGCCACGTTTAAAGTCACTTAAATCATCTTTCTTCCCCATTCTGATGCTTGGTTTGAACTGCAGCAGATCGTCGTGACCATGTCTACATGCCTAAATGCGTTGAGTTGCTGTTTGTGTTAATGAGCAGTTGGACAGGTGTACTTAATAAAGTTCTGAGGGGAAAAAGTCTGATTTGTGATTTTTATGTCGTACATGAGATCGGCCAGATTGGCGAGTACCGATCCAGTCATAAAATGTGATAATCGGCCGATAGCGATCTCCAGACGATCGATTGGAGCATCCCTAATATTAACTATTGATTCTTATAAAGGGTGATCTTATTCTACAGCCCTAATTCTATTACCAATACATAAACCCAACTACTTCCTTACTAACTATTAATAAACAGGTAATTAGCGCTAATAATCTTTGTTAATGGTTTATGAGAAGTGTAAATTGTACAATAAAATTAATTGTGACTAAAAACGCTTTTCAAAACTTATCATAATTCAAAAGCACCAAGATTTTTGATACTCAAACAACACAATGTTCAACCTCTTCTAAATTCATACAAACAATTGGAAGGAAAAATCTCATCTTGCCAGCATGTTTTTTTTTAATATAAGATGGCACAAATACAGTATATACAGTGCATCTGGAAAGTATTCATATAGTGCTTCACTTTTTCCACAATTTTTATGTTACAGCCTTATTCGAAAGTCAATTAAATGAATTTATTTCCTCAATTCTACACACAATATCCTGTAATGACAATGTGAAAAAATATTTTTTTAAATTGTTGCAAATTTATTAAAAATAAAAACCCTGAAATATCACATAAAACATAAAAAATGTGTAAAAAGTGATTTTTTTCCCCCCCAAGCCTTTGTTTTTCTAATAAACTATAATAAAATAAACTAATGAAAAAAAGTTTCTTCTTTTGTGTTTTAGATAAAACTACAACAAACTTATTATATGTTATTATATGTATTATTTTATTATACTATTTTTTCTTTCTTAGAACAGTAATGTGACTGTTTAAGTAGTCTATTTTACGCAGTTTCAAACAGTATTTCCAAGAAATAGGATCATGAAGAAATTAGGTTACTTTTCCTAGTTTTCCCAATGAAAAGGGAGTGAAATCAGCATTTATTCTGTAGCCTCACACTGTTAACCTTTTTTTTACTGTACAGAATGTTGACGGAAAAAAATTAAATTCCAAAAAAATAAATCTTCCTATATCCTCTCACATGTTTGCTTAGCCTGTTATGATTAAATTTAGATTTAACTCCTTTTAACGTCAGCATGTGGCGTTTCTGCATGGCTTGATGGGCAATATGAGTGACTGCTTCTTTTTATCTCTGCTTTGGCCCAGTCAGCAATCTGTAATAAACAGTCGTATTTATGAAGGTGAGATTGCAGGGATACTCTTTATCACTAACATACAGCTATGGGGGAAAAAATTATAAGGCTGCTTGAAAATGTGCAGTTTTGGGGGGTTTATAGTTTATTGTTATGTGCTCAAGTAAAACATCATTTTAGTTTTAATCAGCAAAATTTCTTCCAAAATTATATATAATTTTTTTTTTATAATTTAGAGATTTTTATTTAAAACAAATAATAACAATAAAACAAGTCTATGCTTTTTGGATATTTTTATATTAAATCAGACTACACTATACAATACCAACGTTTTGACTTCCGAAAGAGTTATGTAATGAGATGAGGAGGCCTGAAAGTGCATTCTGGGTTCACTCTTTCTATCGTTCTTTCATCCCTCATGCATAGGAGGGACAGACTGAAGGGCCCTTACTTAATAATTTATCTCCCGCTCAGCTGTAACAACGTCCACTATATCTCGCTATGAAATATTTAGCATGGATAATCCGGGAGTCAACAAATTATGCAATGTTACCTCGACTTTAAATTCTGCTCCATAGGTCCAAAATTAGCTTTAGCATGTTAGTAATGTGAAAACAGGCAAATCAGATTAATTTAATTTAATTTAATTTAATTTAATTTAATTAATTTAATTTATATTTTTATGTAATTTGTCATTTTTATTATTATTCTAATTTTAATTGTTTTTATTTTATTTATTTTAAGTATTTAATCATATATTTATTCTTTTATTTTATTTTAATTCATTTATTTTATTTATTTAAATTATTTTATTTTATTTTATTTACATTTTAAATCATTAAAAACATTTTTTAATTTAACCAGAAACACTATTCCAAATACATAGTGTAATTGTAACACCAGGAACAATGGAGATGAGCATCCTTGTGCAGTTTATATAAGAAAATAGTCCGGCATGCAACAGTCAAAACAGGGGCAAACAGGAGCATACAGGAAATCCAAGAGCGTAGTCAGAGTAACAGGCCAATGGTCAGGACATGCAGCAAAACAGTATAAACAATAAAACATAACAAAGGTGAAAAGATACATTTATAGTTCTTGTAATCAGTCCATAATGAGCATCCAGCTCTGTGTGTGTGTGTGTGTGTGTGTGTGTGTGTGTGTGTGTGTGTGTGTGTGTGTGTGTGTGTGTGCGTGCGTGCGTGCGTGCGTGCGTGCGTGCGTGCGTGCGTGCGTGCGTGCGTGCATGCGTGCATGCATGCATGTGTGTGTGTAATCAGGGGGAATCAGGAACTAGTGTGTGTGTGTGTGGTGCACAATGGGTGTTGTAGTTCATTAAAGTGGCAGATGTGTAGTTCTCCGGCTATCTAGAATTTGCAGTGATCTTTACAGTAATTATCACATTTTATTTACATGTTATATTACAAGTATCAATCATGAAAAAAAAAAAATTGTGGTAATAAAATAATAATAATAATAATAATATTGATAATAATAGTAGTTATTTAGAGAAAATATGACAGTGTATTAGACTGAAGAACCATGAGACACGTTATTACTGTTTTACTGTAACTTTAGTCACACAAATGTCATGTTTAGATGTAAAATGTCATGTTTAGATGTAAATAATGACTCACTTAAAATGCTTTTCATAGCAAAAAGCATTAATTTATTTGTACTAATATTACTGTCTATTTGATCAAACAAATGCAGTATTTGTGAGCATTGGTAAGACCTCAATAAAATAATGAAACTATATTTAATCATTTTCAGTTTAAAAATGCAAATTGTCCCTCAGTGATCGGTAATAAATAGTTTGGCCAATGTGTTGTTAATTTTTTTCAGTACAATTCACTTAGATTTGCCAGGTCTGTGCACCAGGCATGCAACAAGTTTCTGTTGACATTTTCCCCCGTGCAGGTTTTTGCCGAAGCATGACGGGTGATGATTTGTGACTGACTCCTGGGTTCCCATCAGCCCCTGCTCTCTGTATTCAGTTCATGCTGTCGCTGTGCTCCTGTCAGATGCAGGAAATGATGTGTCCGTGTAACACCTTCACTCTGACACAGCAGCAGAAGCCCAAGCAATGGTCTGAAATGTCAAACCAGTCCCGACAAAAATCCTCACGCAGGTTCGACACTCAAAACATAGAGCCGACATCACCATTACCCGCTCAGTCTTCTCATCTGCCTTGTTTACCCAAAGAAACGTGTAAGGAAATGAATGCAATTTCATGTACTGTTTGTCTTTTCAAAGCTGTTCACTATGATGCAGAGGAATCATTGTTTTTCCCCCCAAGGAAATCCCACTTACTGCTGTCCGTCTTTCTCTGTCGCTGTTAATAATACATGAGCTGGTGTGGTCTGTCTAAAGTCCTCACTTATCACCAATACAAACTGAATCATTTACACATACAGTATAGTGTCCGCCACTAGTATTGGCACCCTTAAGCTGGATTTATACTTTCCACTGACTGCAAAATGGTCAAGGCTTTTTTTTTACTCGCCGCATTCGCCGTTGTGATATTCTTTAAAATTATGGATAAACAGATGAATAAACAGAGAAGTAGAAAGTTTCCGGAACTACGTCATGTCAATAATATCATTCAATATTTTTAAACTAGCTATTTTTATTGTTTTTATAAGTTATTTTTATGATTGTAAGGTTTGTTATAACTATTCAATATTTTTAATCAAACTCTGATGCATCTCTTGCTTTTGTTCATTTCGCAGACAGTTTTATCTATTAAAGTTTATTAAATTATTATTGACAAGAGAGCATGGGTTGCTCTATAAATATATATTTTTTATTATGGCAAGAATAAAGGCAAAAAAAGTACACTTACTAAAAATACAGATTTTTAGTAGGATCAAACCGATAGGATCAAATATTCCTTTCTAGTTATCAAAGAAATAGTTTGTTCCTTAATTTTAGTTTTGTAACTATTGTAATTGTTTTAAATTCAAAATTGTGATACATACATCAGTGTAAAACCTATGACTGGTGGAAAAACATATTCTGTAATTGTGTATCTGGGTCTCCACTTTTGCCATGGCCTCTTTTAGCTTTAACAAACTTATCCCTCAAGTTTTTCCAAACCTTTTAACAAAAACTTTCCTTCTTTCCCACGGCTGTTGCAATTTCTAGCCAAGAATTATTGATCATCAGGTTATCTCTATGATCACGGATCATAAAAAGTTTGAGACAAATCTCTTAAAAGTTATTCATATTCAACTCAAAAAAAAAAAACATGTGCTCCGCCTGCCGAAATAATGTTGCGCGCTCCCAAAGTGAACCTCTGCAAACACAGCAAAGTTTACCTTTTGCTCAAAATACTGTAAATACTTTACAATAAGTTTCCATCAAACACTGTTAATATATTTATTAACATGAACAAGCTATGAACATTACTTTTATTACAAGTAAAATTTTGTAAATGTTCATTCATTAATTTTCCTTCGGCTTAGTCTCTTTTTCAGAGTTCGCCACAGCAGAATGAACCAACCAACTATTCCAGCATATGTTTTATGCAGTGGATAGCCTTACATTACTGGAAAACACCCATACACACTCATTCACACATACCCACTCCTACACTACTGCCAATAAGTTCATCCAATTGACTTATAGCACAGTTTTTGGGCTGTGGGGGGTACTGGAGCAACCAGAGGAAACCCTCGCAAACATGGGGAGAACATGCAAACTCCACACAGAAATGCCAACTGGCCCAGCCAGCCATTTCTGTGTGGAGTTTGCATGTTCTCCCTGTGTTCGTGTGGGTTTCCTCCAGGTGCTCCGGTTTATCCCCACAAGTCCAAAACATGTGGTACAGGTGAATTAGGCAAGCTAAATTGGCCTTAGTGTATGAGTGTGAATAAGTATGTATGATGTTTCCCAGTGATGGGTTGCAGCTAGAAAAGCATCTGCTGTGTAAAACACATGATGGATAAGTTGGCAGTTCATTCTGCTGTGGCGACCCCAGATCTATAAAGGACTAAGCTGAAAAGAAAATGAATGAATAAATTAAGTATTGAACTATGATTGGTATATACATTTATTATACTATAATGGAACCTTATTGTAAAGTGTGACCAAAATCAGCCATAAACAAATATCGACTAAATGTTGCTCTCAAAAAACTGTTTAAAAGAAAGCGACTACAGTTTTATCAGTTCTGCACAAGTCTTTAATTGACCTGATGAAAACATTTTTGTTCAAAACATTGTTGTTTTAATAAACAGTGTGGCGATTTTTGTTTTTCAACAAATGAATGTTTAATTTGAACTTGCGTTTTTTTTTTTTTTTTTTTTTTTTTTTGGATGTGCACGTTAGAGTTTAAACAAAAACTAAGAACAAATAATTGCAAATACAGGACAGTTTTATCAAAAAAATATCAAAAACATTATTTGTTAAATAAGTATGCCAACCGTATGAATTAATATTGGCACAATAATCCCATTACTTTACTTTTTTAGTACATTTGGGTGATGAGAAAAGGGAGGTTGTATAAACATTATCTGCTTTTTCACAGTGGTGTAAAAATGAGGAACCACAAAGACCAAACTCACTCAATCATTCATCTCAATGGGTAAAACCAAAGAACAGCTGTGATTTGCAGGAAAATGTAATAGTAAAAACACTGAAATTGCCTATTTCTACCATCAGAGTAACAACGAATAATCTTCAGTCAACAAAATGTGTTATAAATCCACCTGGTACAGGACCAAGATATTTGTTTGGATGATGGTTCTAAATTGTCCAAAAAATCTCCAAAAACCTCAGAAATGCAGATTGGGCTCAGAAAGTCTTCAAAATCCAACATCACCTGCATCACAACAAACTGATTTAAAAGGGTTTCTAGAAGAAAAAAAAAAAACAAGAAGCAAACCTTGTTTAAAAGATGTCTAATAAACGTCCAAATGTAAACCTCTTTGCTAAAACAAGGCTAAATTTGGGCTTTCAGTATAAATATAGATATCTAACCATAGTCCAAATGTAGCCATCAATTAGACAGGAATGAATAACTACACATGTAAAGTCTGTCTATTTGATTGGTAGTCTATTTTTGGACTAGATGTCTATATTTTCACTGACTGCCTTATTTTAACAAAGACATCTATTTTTGAACGTTTCTTAGATGTCTTTTAAATGCTTAAAAGCTTGCTGGGAAGTCTCTATTCTTATCCAAAAACAAACTCAGCCATTTTTGTTTTGTTTGTTTGGTTCTCCATGAGCACCTTAAGCCTCATTCACATTGCCAGTGATCATTCATTTGAGTGAGCAACTTCCGGCGACTCCATCTACGTGAGCGACAACAACCACTGGCAACACGGTGGGCATGTCGATTTATGCTACAAAGTCTTTCTTGAGTGGCAGCCAATAGGAGCACCAGTAGAGCTCTTGTGATCCTTTCTCAACTCGCTCAGATGCCGGTCAAATTCTTCATGCTGTAGACCTACACAGACCTGTGTTTGCAGCAGGTTGCCACCTACAGTAGAGCAATAGGCAGCTACAAAGTGGCTGCTAGTGTGAATGAGGCATCAGTGCTATATGTTGACGCATTAACCACTAGGCTATGAGCATGACTTTGGTTTTGTATTTAATATTTGGTGAGAAAGAAGAGTCAATATTAATGTATAGGACACTGTAATTCCTTTAGCCAATGTAATCTCCGCTCTCCTCTTATGGTTCTTCATCTTTCTTATCTTCTGTGTGTTTTTTTCCAGGCACAAGAGGAGCAAAGCAAGCTCTCGGAGTCGGCGTGTGCGGATCTGGCTGTCTGAGCGCTGGTCTCTGTGCCAAATCAACCTGTATGAACTTGTGTTGTGGCTTCGCAGCTCTGCTTTGGCCAGATGCCTCTGTTATCTCCTTAACTGCCTACCACACACAAACTGAGAGGCTTGAACACACTCGGTTTTTAACGGAAGCTGACTGTAAAAAGTCTTTTTTTTTTTTTTATAATGTTTTCCACAGTCATGGAACTTGACTTACAGTGAGATTATGATGTGTCAAATCAAATTCTTCTTGCATGTTTTACGTCCTTGTTAATATGTTATTTTAAAGTACTGTGCTTTAGTATAATGCCTTGAACTGCGCATATGTCACATCTCAAAAATTCATGGAAATCTTTTATTTCCTAATCTCATACTGTTGATGAGAAGATTAAATGGTAACACTTTAGATTAATGCTTCATTAGTTTGTTAGTTAATGTATTTACTAGCAATAACTAAGTACCAACAATCTTTTAAAGCATTTATTAATCATTGTTTAACATTAACTAATGCATTAATAAAATCCAAAGTCGTACTTGTTAACATTAGGTAAAACTGACTAGCTTTTTTACTTTATAAATAACATGTTGTAATAACATTGACTAGTGTTAAGAAAGTAATAAATATAATAATAAATGTATTACTTTTAGTTTATGTTAGTAAATCCTAACATAACTAATGGATCATTATTTTAAAGTGTTACTGATTAGACATTTAAATATATAACATCTGTGGCAAAAAATAAAAAAAATATATATTTATTTTAGGACTTTTTATTGGGTAAACGGGTGTTTTATTTTTATTTTTTGGTCATCCTGGCTCAATAAATGGGGGCATTTGTATTTATCTGTGTTTGTTTGGATTTTTCCTTTTGTGAATTTTTTTTAATGGGAAAATGTTTTCACATTAATGAAGGAAGCAGTCAGTAAGTTTAGGAGTATTGTGTTTTTAAACCTCACTGAATGCAACAGTTGAAGCTTTGAATAACATTCACTCTACAGTGTTGTCTACAACGGGTTATGGTGGCCAAGAAAATAAAGAGGTTAGTGGGTGTTGTTGTACTATTAATAAAATACTATTGCAGTTTTTCTAAACTATTACATATTATTGCATCTAAAGAATTACATATTGCTATATTTTCTTTTTTTCATTGTCATTTTAGCTAAGGTGATACATTGTCTTCAATATAAATCACAAATAACTACAAATATCAGAAAATAAAAGAAAATTGTTAACATAAATAGTGCTTACTCATCCAAAAAATAGGAAAATGCAAATACTTTTTTAAAATTAATTAATTAATTTATTTATTTATTTATTTATTTATTTATTTATTTATTTATTTATTTATTTATTTATTTATTTATTTATTTATTTATTATTATTGTTATTATTGTTATTATTATTATTATTATTATTATTAAGTTGTAGTAATATTAATATTATTATTGTACTTGTAAAATGTGTCGTGGAAGAAGACTATTTGTTAACACTTTGTTTTGATGGTCCATTTGAGTATTAGTAGACTGTCTGCGTAATATCTGCTAATACTGCTCCTTCAACAAACATCTAACTGACTATATGTAACTTTGCAAGTACATGTCAACTTACACTAACCCCAACCTCACAATCTACTTATAATCTAATGAGAATTAGTTGGCATGTAACTTAAATTTAAGAAACGGACCATCAAAATAAAGTGTGACCAACAATTTTTTTTTTTTTTTTTTTTTTTTGATTAACTAGATTAGGTATGGGTTTATATATTAAATAATAATAATGAATAACAAATGTTTTAGTTATTGGATGAGAACTGTGATCGACATCATTCTCGAATGCCTATATTATATTTCCAAGTCAGAATATCACTATAACTTTTTCAGTAGTCCAGTGCATCAATATCAGCTTACAAATGCATTATTGTATCAGACTAGATCTGATTCAGAGGGTAGCTTTTACATCTGTTACACCCAGTTACACCTTCCCTTCCAGGTTTTTTTTTAATTTTTTTATGCAGGACCCTGAGTCCCACAGAAAATCCCTCTCGTCATCAGGCCTGAAGGCAAGAGCCAGCAGCTGAAATACTAAAGCCCTGCAGCTGGAGAGCAGATTGTGGCTGATGGACTCAGTTATCTGCTCAACAAGTCTCAAAAACCAAATTGCTGGATCCCGGCTTCCCGTTCCACAATAATGTGTCATTTACTGTGTCCACAGCTAATCCTGTCAGGCTTGAATTGCAGCTCTAGCGTGTTTCCAGGAACTGTGCAAACTTGTAATTAATAATTTTAGGGGCTGAGGTGCTCTCCGACTGAGTAAGTGCACTGTTATGCTGTCCTGTTTGTTTAATTTAATAATAATAATAATAATAATAATTATTATTATTATTATTATTATACTTTTTTATTTATTTAATTATTATTATTTTTTATTATTATGCTGTAGCTCTTTGGCCCTCTGTTGTGTTGTTTTTTTAGGTGATGTGCTGTTGTTTGTCGTGGTAAATGGAGGTAATTTTTTTAACTAATTTATTTCCGATTATTTTCGTAATTAATTAATGTGTTTTTCTAATGCCAATATTTGTGTCATATTTAATTTTTGTTTTTGTTTACCATATGGTGTTGACAACAGGAGTAATGAAGATAAATTTTCAGCTTTGAATCACAGATAAATAACATTATAAAATGAATTATTCAGTCATTTATTAAATTTCTTTTCGGCTTAGTCCCTTTATTCATCAGGGTTCGCCACAGCGGAATGAACCGCCAACTTATCCTGCACATGTTTTAGAGAGCGGATGCCCTTCCAGCTGCAACCCAGTACTGGGAAACATTCATACACACTAATTTACAAACATACACTAAGCCCAATTTAGTTTATTCAATTAACCTATAGCTTATGTCTTTGGCCTATGGGGGAAACCGCAGCACCCAGAGGAAACCCACGCGATTACGGGGACAACATACAAACTCCACAAAGAAATGCCTACTAACTCAACTACACTCAAACCAGCGACCTTCTTGCTGTGAGGCGTCAGTGCTAACTGTGTCCCCCAAAAAATGAAAAAATAAAATAAAATTATATATATATATATATATATATATATATATATATATATATATATATATATATATATATATATATACATACAAATTTAAATGCATATTTAAATTGATATTGCCATATTATATTTGATTTTATATGGGTGATTCTAGAATTGTGAGTATTTTTGCATCTACAAGATTAACCTTCTATCATTTTCAAAAGCATACATTTTTATGAAACAATTCTGAACAATAGCACAACTTATATCCAGTTATCGCTAAAAATCAGGGGTGTAGATTTAGCATGGACAGAGGGGACGTGTCCCCACCAATATCCATCAACTATTCAAATCTCCCCAAAAATAATTTAATTCACTAAAAAAAAAGAACATCGCACTGTCAATATTAACCTAGACATGCAGAAAAGGTTGAATCACGTTCTCTCCTCGAGTCGCACCACCCCCGCAAACACATATGAACAGTGGCAGATTTAGGCATGGTTAATTTGGCCTATCGCCCAGGGTGGTGTCTTGCTGGGGGCGGCACAGGGAGATGGTGCAAAAAAAAAAGCTTTGAGAGATACAATTTACTTTCTGCAAATGTATTAATTTAGAAAGGTAATTGCATAATAAAGACAATAGGGCCAGTCACATTTGGCATATTTTGCACGCGCAAGTTTGTTAGTCTCTATATGCAACCGAAACAACCCTGGTGAAAGCAAATCGATACATGCGCACAGAAAACCATTCCTGTGCGCTGCTCCTGCTCTTGTTTACATGCACTACGACAAAGTATGCACCATTCATGCGTTGTGAAACCAAGTAAAGGCCTTTTCTGTCACTTCTATGACACCTTGTGTTGACACCTCAAGTTTTACAAGTTGACAAAACTGAAGCTTATAATATGATGAGGATCGTATTTTGACTAAGCATGGCTATAAAGCAGAAAGGAGAGATAGAGTCAGGGAGGTAAGACTTTATCAAATTAATTCTCACCTTGAGCCAGGTCTAAGATGAACAGATAATTCTATAAAACATATTCTTTTGTATTCTTTAGAATTGTCATAATTAATATACATGCAAAATATTTCTTGTGATTTTAGCAGCATACTTAGCATACTTAGCTCACTCCAGTTTTGTCTTAATGTTGTTTTCCAGTTACATTTAGGATTGTTATTTATTTAAAATAATAATTGTATTATATTAATATTAATAATAATTTAATTTACAGTAAAGCTAAATATTTTTAATAATCTCAGTTCTAGTTTTGTCCATATTTTTCCCAAAGTATGTGTGGTAGTTGTCGTATATGGGATGATTCAGCCAGGGTGCCATTTAAGCTAGAATCACCCCTGCATATGAACTCTGTGATTGGCTGTCTTTCCCTGCTTCCATGTGAGTGACTGTAGCTGTGTTGATATACACACAGTGCCAAAACTATGCAGGGGAATTTCCCATGCAAGAATAAGATGTGTGAGGTGTGTGACACACACAAGTGAGGATGGCGGCAGCAAAAAAAAAAGCTGGTCACATAAACTCAAGTTGGCTACTAAATGATATGGTATTCACCCGTCCCCACCAATGTCAAGTACAAACCTACACCCTTGCTAAAAAATAATATTAGTATGCCTATTTAAGGAAAGTTTGTCTTAAAAATATGAACTTAAAGACTCCCACTATGTATTCTTATTTTTCACTGTCTCCTGAATCTAGTCTAAAAAATGATCAAACTTCAATTTTACTACTTTAACAAAGGATAATAATATATGGAAAGAACAACTTTCAAAAATTACTTCAATTAGTAACACCTAAAGTAATTGAAAAAAAAATTGTTTGGTCACAATTTGCTAAGAACTAAAAACGAACAGTACTTGTACAGCATTTATTAATTATAGTTAAACATTTGCATCCAAATGCATGCTTGTTAATGCGCTATGAGTTAACATGAGCTAACTATAAACAAATGTATTTTCATTAACTAACCTTAACTAACTTGAACAAATACAGCAATAAATGTATAGTTCAAATACAATAAATGCATTAACTAACATGAACTTTCTTATTGGGTAACACTTTAGTTTAGGTCACAATTCATGCTATTAACTACTGGCTTATTACCTGTCTATTATTAAGTAATTAACTATTTATTCATAATTATAAAGTATGATCTTATTCTGCACCCCTAATCCTATTTATAACCTAAACCCAACCTCTAAACACCTTAGTCATTTATAAAGCTTGTAGTGTTAGTTATTGGTAAAAACCGTGAATTGTTACCTAAAATAAAGTGTTACTCATTGTAAAGTTTTACCTTTTTAATAATCTATAAAGATTTTTCTTTGTGTGTTAATTCACCAATTTACCTTTTTGTGATGCAGTTAATATATTGGTTCGCTTTTTGCACATGCATTTTTTTTTTTTGGTCTTGTTATTGCAGTTTAGTTGATAAAAAAATGCGTCTTATCTTTGGTGTTTAACACAAACATGGCTCTGCTGTTTCTCTGGTCCTCTGCTTTTGATGAGTCAGAAGTGGAAAATCTCTCTCCATCTCTCTCTGCTGACTCACAAACGGACAATGGCTGCTTTCCCTTATCACTTTCTTCCCATCTCTTAATTAGGCTCGACCTCTGTAGGCAAACCCAGAGCCAGCGTTAAGCCTGTGTCTGCCTAGAATAAAAAATCCATCCATCTTGATCAAAAAGCTGAGGCTGGAGCTGCCAAATGTAATCACTCTGGTAATGTGTCCGAAGCCTCCAGTGGGACAGAAAGAAGGCCAGCAATGCTGAGGTGAAGTTCAGTTTCAGGT